TGCCCTTTAGCCCTGTGCTCCGAAAGCATCTGTTGGGACATTAGTCTCAGTTTGTTGTCGTCGTAGTGCTGACGGATGAGTAAGGGATGGTTGGCCACTTTCCGCAAATCCATAAGCATTGAGTTCCCACTCTTGAACTTCTCTTCGCTCTCATTGTCTTCAAAAGTGATTTTCTTATACTTTATTTCTCGCGTATAGTTCTCAATGAGATCCGCATATTTGAGTTCTTGCTCCGAACTCATCGGTACGTTCAGGACGTTGTCTATCTTTGGGGGCAACTCTTGCAACACCTGAGCGTACATGAAGTCATAATTAAAGATAATTTCTGAACTCATTTCTCAAAGACTCACTTCACTCTTAAGCCGTCTTAACACAAATGGTTTCATAATCTTCTTCGCCTGTTCTATGCGTTCGCTGATATAAGTGATGCGATGAGTGGACTCTTTCTGCAAGAAATCAACCATTTATACCAAAAAGGAGTCAAATATCTGAATGAGACATACATTGGTATAAGTGAACAAAGTCTTAATTTGGTCCGTTTTGCCGGAGAACATGTGAGGCATCGTGAAGATCAATAGAGACATGAGTTCTACCAAATTGTTCTGAAGTGGAGTTCCCGTCAGTAGTAATCGATGTTTGGCCTGAATTGCAAACAATTAGATTTGGTTTCAAGGAATGAGAGATAAAATGCATTTTCAACACACTTTAAGGTTCATGAGTGCCGTATATCGGGTGCTCTTAATGTTCTTGAGATAGTGGGCCTCATCGAAGACACAGTACTTGAAGCGACTCTTCTTGAACAGAGACCTATCTCCCGGACTTTGCGCTATAGTATATGAAGTGATGATTACATCGAAATCGATCTCGTTTTTGGAGATCTGCTCCCTAATCATAGCCCTCTCATCCTGATGGCCATAATACAGCAATATGTTGATGTCCGGACACCACGTCTGAAACTCACGGCTCCAGTTCTCCAGAGTCGAGGCCGGGACGATCACCAGATGCGGACCCCTTACGGCTTTCCTTTCTCGTAAATACGCGAAGAACGCAATCACTTGAATAGTCTTTCCTAAGCCCATCTCATCGGCGAGAATGCAATTAATGCCCTTTTTGTACATCAATGCCAACCAATTCAAGCCTATCATCTGATAGTGAGATAACTTCATCTCCGAGTTCAACATCTTTGGCTGTTCTAAGGCTTTCAACTGCTCTACAGTTTTGCCCAAATCTTTGGCCATGTTTTCGCACGAATCCATGAGTCGTTTGACCACTTCCTGGGCTCTGACCACTTCGCAGCACTTGTCCAGTATATCTGTCGACAGATTTCTTTCCGTGAATTTCATCACCGCATCGGACCAGTCATGAAATGGTCGCATATTCTCGATTATCTCAATTTTCTTGCCGCTGACGCCCGAAATCATCTGAAGTTCGAAGGAATTGGATGTCTGCAGGAATTCCACGACTCTTTCCTTCACCTCTTGTGTCCGGAAATACAACTGTTTCGACGATGACTTGTCTTTGAAGCCGTTCTTCGACTCCCCCTCACTATCGTCTTCACCACTGGTGCTCAGACA